GTTTCTTGAGCATCAGATCCTCATATTAGTGATTTCTGAAGGATCATGTGACACTGAAGACTGGAGTAATGATGCTGAAAATTCTGCTTTGATCACAGGAATACATTACACTTTACTGTATATAGTTTCAAATTTTAGTAATATTTCACTGTTTTTACTGTAATTATGATCAAAGGAATGCAGCCATGATGAGCAGAAGACTTTCAAACGCATAAAAAACAGCCACAAGCTTCACAAATGTGGTTATTGTTTAGTCTGTTACAGTTTGCATTGCTTTGCAAATTATCATGAACTGACATTTAGTAAGAGTAAAATTGTTAAATATGATAGGATGAAATATTGAATACATTTTTCAGAGACAATTTATCAAAGACAAAAACTATGACAGACATAAATAAATAAATAACCAACCCCTGAAGAGAAACCAGAGAGAGAAATCGTGGATTTGAAACGAGCAGTGATAATGTGTTCAGTGTAGCTATTTCTGTATGAACACACACTGGGCCATTAACTGTGTAATGAACTAAAGGTGGAAGAGGGAATTCTGGACAGGTTTAGCTGGAGTTTGGGACACACACACACACACACACACACACTGACTACCCTATAATGTCAAACTGACTAATCCATGTCAAGTTTTGGGTGCAAAATCATTTTTCTGTTTTCACTGAGAGTGATAACACTGCGTGAAATTACAAAATAGCAACTAATTCGATTATACTGTATTTGTTTGTTATAAAACCATTAGTAGTCGTTTGAATTGTGGCTGGTTTCAGGACACAGTGTTGAAGTGAATTTGTGAGTCTCATAACCTGGACACGCTGGTCTTCAACCTGAAGTTAACCTTCTGTCAGACACAGAACACACACGAGAGCTCGAGGACACGGATCATCCCCAGGCCACAGCGCTAAATGAGTTTGCGTCTGGTTCTCCAGGGGCAGGTCGGGCTAGACCTCTTCTTCAATGTGCTCATTTCCACATTCAAACACAGATATCGCTCTCGCAGATTTGATTTGGCCATTATAGGCACAGCGCCGGAGGCATCGACTCCTATTGAGTTTCCGTAACTTGTCATAACACGGTTTTTACTGGCAGCGAGGTGACATCAGTTTTTAAGTCGACGGCAGGTGGACTTGGAGCCTCGCCGGCGTAAGATATCAACCTTCAAATGTGAAAGAAACAGTATGTAACTGTTCAAGGGATGAACTCTGTGAATCAAAAGGTAGGAGAGAAACAGAAAGAGAAGTTAAAGTCACCATGACATCACAATTGACATTTACTTCATGTGCCTCATAAACTTTAATCAAAATAATTCCCCGTCCCTCTTGCAGCTTCTCTTCTCTGAAAATGAGGGCGGGGCAACCTGTCACTCACATGAGATCAGCCAATAGCAAACCACAACCATCCAATCAATTCCTCACAGACAAAATCAAGCCCCGCCCACATTTGTTCTTGTTCCAGATGTGTTCACAATAGAGAAGAAAAGACTATTGCAGCTTCCATTTCATGCCGACTTTAAAATTCCCACAATGCACACACACACACATGAAAATATGAGAGACAGTCAATGGCATTGTAATTGTATTAGACTCTGACAGAGAGAAAACGCTCATTGTTTGTAAATTAGATTGCGCTTATGAGAACGTGTGGAAACATTCGGTCTTGCTATCTGGGAAAGTCCTACATATCTTCTCGGCCCGGTGCAGCTGTCAATCAAACGACCGACAGATAGATGTCAGGGGTCAAAGGTCAACCCTGACCTGGGGTGGTGAGAAGGTACGGTACTTAAATACTTACAAAAGGCTCAGGTTTTGTGTGACGGGGCATCCAGAGCAGCCCATCTGGATCTGATGAGATGGGTGGATACCAAAGACAGAGGTCACCCTACAGGAGTCTTTCTCCTCGTCCACACCGGCCTTACTCCACTACCAGTCCCATTCCCAAAGATCTCCTTTCCCTCAACACAGCACTTAGAACGACACATGTGGCCTATTAGACAATAAAGACTCATTCAGTTCAGCCCACCAGGAGCGGCCTTTGAAAAACCCCAGCACAGAGAAACACAGAGAGGTTGAGGGAAGGCAGAAAGAGGCGTTTGGCGGAAGATCAGAGCGATCTGAAGGAGAAATCACTCCCTTCTTCTTGGGAAGACTTCCCACTGGCTCTTTTAGGGAATAATATACAGTATGCATTGACAGCCTTCTCCAAGGAAGAGGCCGCAGCCTTTATCATGAGCCGTTTGAAATGTATTCAGAAAGTAGAGGTTCGACTGAACGGGGCCTCGGCTGTCTGGCTTCTTTTTCCGTTTAGAGGAATCCACTAGTAGTGAAATAAAGCAGGCTTGGCAGATATTTCGCAGCCCATGAAGCCAGTAGGGGGTCCAGAGCTCAGTCGGGAGTCTCAGATAGACCAACAGGGTCTGTTTTCCAATTCGTAGCGGCTCATATAAAAGCTTCCGTTCTTCCGGGCTGGAATAAATGTATTACATGTCTGACGGACTAACAGCTATTGCTTTTGAAGATGTTTTTTGAGGGCAGTAACACAGAGGTGGAAATAAATCCCAAGAGATTACCCATCGGGCATGTTCACACTAGATGTTAGAAGCATTGAATCATCTCTAAAAGTTAAAAGCAATAACTTTACACCTTGAATATTTACAACATCAAAGAGCTTCCAGTACCCGTTTACATGCACGTCCTTAACCCGATTAAGCTTAATAAGTCGATAATGCACGTGATCATGTGAACGCGTTAACCCGCTTTCCTTCATCGGAGTAAAGTCATAAACAGCTGAAGCATAAACTGATCATCACATCTAGATTGCATTCCTGCATGTAAACGCATTAACCAGATTTCTGTCGCTTATTGAAGTGCGCATGTGTGATGTGTGATAGGAACGCGTCCTTTCAAGCGCATCCAGACAGAGCGAGTGTTTCGCAGTAAAGGAGGAGGAAATATATCGCAAACTCAGACTCTTTCTAGAGTCTAAAAATGATCAAAGTGTCTCGACTCGTGCAGAAACAGAAGAAAAAGTGGAAGAGTCAAAATGATGAAAACGAAGAGTCAATATATGACATGTTGCAATACTCCTCTTCAGTTTATAACGCTTTATTTAACATCCCAACCGACAGAACAAATGAAATACTCTGCGTCAGATACGCTAATTATTACATTTTGACTACCAGGAAATAACCTGATTTATTATTTTAGACTTGAAAATGTGATTTACTTGCGTTATCGGGCTATTGGTTTGCATGTCAACGCGGACAACAGGTTATTATAATAAGCTAATATCTGTGAGTTATCAGTGTATTGGGGTGGATGTAAACATGCTCATTGAAGACACAAATGTACTACGGTATGGAACCAAAGACGCCAGTGTGAAAAGAAAGGGATTGAATTTAAAGTTGAGTGTGTACAACCATTCAATTCAGTTCAAATCGTTTCAAAGCAGCTTTACAGAAAATGCACGAGTCCACATTACAATTCAGAGTGATCTGTTATCAGAGGTAACTGTCTTAGTTATGTATTTCCAACGCATTCTCATCCTTTGGCGTCATATAGGTGACACCATATGACATTTCGTCGGAATCTTACGCACATGGCATCCTTTAGCGTCAATATAACACGCACTGTTATGGGTAGGTTTAGGTCTGGGGTAGGGTACGGTTATGATGCCTTGGGTTCTGCGTCTCATATTCACGTTAAACGATGCCATGTGGGTAAGATTTCGACGAAATGTCCAAAGCGTCACATGTATGACGCCAAAGGATGAGAACGGGCTGGTATTTCAGAAATGTACATACACAAATCACACAGTTAGCTACAAATGTATTAATTTAAACAATGTAATAATTTAAAGGGGTCATATAATGCCATTTTTGTACAAGCTAATATGATTCTTTAGGGTCTAAATTAAAAGTTTGTAATATACTTTAATTAAAAATTCTCATTAGTATTGTAAGAAAACACTTATCTGGTAAAAAACAGCTCTGTTTTCAGCACACCGTTTCAGTGCATATGCCTTTAAATGATCATGAGCTTTGCTCACTCCGCCTCTCTGTTCTATGCGTACACCGTTTGTAACACAATAACCATAACACGTTGTTCAGTATAAACATGGGATTATGCATTATATTGAGAACGTCATACATAGAAAACATGCCGTAATGTACCCTGAGTGTAAACCTTAGACGAATTCATTATGAAGCGTGCAGCTGGCGATTTACAAGGATTAATATAAATATTAATATAAAGTTTAATAACACGTTACACTCACTTCAGTTCTTCTGGAGCAGCTGCAGGAACACGAATAGATGGTACCGATCCTTTCAGGAGCAGCTTCTTAGCAAAACCAGCTTTATACCTCCTCGTTTATAAAGCAGTCTGGTGAGAAATGATTCGCGCAAACATGAACGCATTGACGTTGCTCGTGGGGAATATTCCCTTCGAAAACAAACTCAGCCACTGCGTCTTCAGCGGTTCGGATTTAGGAACATTAAAATGACTGTGTTCGTTATTACACCCAAGAACAGAACACCACAATCGCTTAGACGCCATTCTGCTCATAGACAGCGCTCCAGCATATCAACAATGACCGCGCCGGTCCGCGCAGACTATGATTGACAGCTGGCTCACGAGCGAGGGCGGGTCTGTGTTGAAACGCTGCTGGCAATCAACAATCGTGGGAGGGGCTTCCGAGCGTGTGACGTCACACGGTCGAACGGCTCGATTTGAGGCAGGGGAAAACATATAAGGAGATTAAAACAAAAACACTGGATGGATTTTTATCATTGTATGATGGTTGTGTACAGACACTGCCAACACACATTTCAGTACAATCAACTTGTAAAAGTGCATGTACCATTATATGACCCCTTTAAGGCAGAAACAATGAGCTCATTAACGTAATGAATGCATGTTTATCAAATGATTATGACTTTTAAAATGGTAGTTTGTAGAGTTTGCGTCTAAAGCTCAAATGATGTTTTGTGTTTGCAGAATTCAAGCTAAGACGAGGGAGCTCAGAGAGCGACAGGCCAGAGAGCGAGACTACGCCGAGATCCTGGACTTCAACCGAACCTTCAGCTCAGACGAGGAGCACACGTACGCTGGGATCGGCTCTCTGGACTCGTCTCTGGACAGCAGTCTGGATCTGAGCCATAACCCCGGGCAGGAGCGTCCTCAGAGTCCTCGGGACCTGCCCATGCCCATAGAGGCGCTTTACGCACAGGTCAACAAGCCCCGCAACGGACGCCAACCCTCCACAGACAGGTAAGATCTCCAAGACCTCATCCTTCAGTCATCGTGTGTTTGTTAAGTAACACTCGGCTGACATAACAGGACAATGGCATGTTCTTGACTTGAAGGACGCAACCTTGGTGTGTATTTCTAAAGCTTTGCATAATGCAATGCTGGCGTGTTTTCTGGCTGTCGTGAGCTGTCAAATATTTCTTGTTTGTTGGAGGTCGGATGGGGTTGAAGGGCACGCTCGCTTTTGAAGTTTCTTTTATTTTGTTGAGAAAAAAGAAAGGTTCTCTGCAGTCCTCTGACTAATAGAAGATGTTCTCCCTTTATATTTGTTTGTGCCTGGAAGTTTTAAAAATGAAAAGCCGCTTTCATCCGCTCTTTGTAGTGTGAAAAAATGAAAGTCAAACAAACAGTGTTATCAGATTTCTCACCTGTGTCCCAGCGGCTGCTTTTATAGCACTGGTAAATCATTGATAATTCTCTGGATGGGAAAATTTAATAACCGGCAGGCTCCTTTATTATCACGGATCATGTCAGATCCGCCAGCGTTGGCCTCAACGTGCACAGAATCTCTGGAAATTGTGAAAGGGAAAGAAAGTCAACTTTATACCACAAACTGCGTAAAATGTAAAACAGTTTTCCTTCCTGTGTTTACATATTTTCTATTGACCCTTGTGAAAGAGACGTAAGCTTAAGAATACTGCGGAGATATTATACTTTAATAAATGTACTTACAGTAACTTTTGGACACTTAATTGCAATTAAATAAAAATGTATTATAATTTAAATTAATATTAAATGCAATTTGTTGAACTTTAGAATGCTTTTCGACCCAGTTAAGTAGGACTTGAGTACACTTTTCATAATTACTTCTATTGTTTTTGCAATATGGTTAAAGTGTACTCCCACGAATGTATTGACAAACATTTATGTGAACTAAAATATACTTGAATGTCATTTCTATTGAAACTTGTATGTCATATATTTGATATATTGCTTATTTGTAATGAGGAGGAAGTTGCAATTATTTTACATTTAAATGTAATATTGAATAACACACTACAGTAAAAATGTATTTTTCAGCACATCAAAATAAGTGGACTTCTTTAAAGCATGACAAAAGATTATTAAAACATTGCTACTTGTAAGTAAGACTTGATTTGACTATTTATTTTATTAAAACTACTTGCTGTAAGTGTGTTAAGTGGCTTTTTATTTCATTAATATTACTGTATATAACCAAATACCGTTTTGAAGTAGGCTACAAGTGCACATTCAAAATAAGTGCACTTCTTTTTCACAGTGAGAAACAGGAGGTTTGGGTTGGACATATTGGAGCCCAGCAGAAAAGTTTGAGTCTAAGAACAGTTGTGAAGTTGTTTCAGCTTTATCCGTCTTCTTTTGCCAACGTTGTGTTTAAGACATTGTATATTTGATGCTGGGGATCGACCTACATTTGTTGTGGTGAAATGAGAATATTTTTTTAGATATATAAGCAATATATTCCAAGTTTCCGTTCTGATTCATTGCTGTTTTTACAGTATTTATGACAAATAAACAGCCATCAGTGTGTGAACAAACAAAGGGGAAGTCACTCCAGCATTACTACAAACTGAGGAATTACCACAATTGCTCTATTAATCTTGTGGTTATGAAATGGTTAGCGGTTAGTTATGGAAATGCTGTGAAAGGCCAGCGTGTCTCTTTCCTAAACAGTAATGACTCTCTCTGGGTTTACTGAGGCGCAGTAATTGGCCCGTCACCGGCAGTGAAGCAGAGGCAGTGATTGACATATGTCACTCTGGGTGTGTGACCTTTCCCAGGGTGCAGTGGGAAGGGGATTATTATTACGTTGCCAACTGCTGTTCTCCCAGCAGGATCGTTCCCTTCCCCCCGACTGTCAGGAGATCACCCGCTTGCACCCCCTGCTATCCGGACACAGTGTGAATATGACAAAGTTACGCCGGCACTCAGTCGTCTGGCTAATCCTCGTGCCAGTGTCTGTGGTGGCAGTGAAAGGCCAGCGCCGGTCCCTAGAGCCCTGACTATTCCTGCCAACACATGTGCATTCACTCATTTATTTACACTAACTACAAGAGTATACTGTTATAATATAAGAAGGCATTTCATTTATCCTAATATATGTTTTTAAATATATGCATTTAAAAAAAATATATGTATATTATAAATTATTTTAAATGTTCTTTTATTCACTTTAACAAATGCTGGGTTGTTTGAAACATTGACAAACCCGACCGTTGATTTTAATTGTGTAAACATTTTTTTTTAATGTTTTTGTCCATATTTGACCCCAAAAAGAGTGTACACGTTGGTTAGAATGAAATTATTGAAATAAGTATTAATAATGATTCATAATATTATAAACATTTTCTTTATATTGTAAATTATTGACATATTATTTTGTATCATCACAACAACATTAAGAACAACAACAATGATTATTATGATGATAATTATAATAATCATAATATTACTAGGGTAGATTGTTGTTTATTTATTTACTTATGTATTTACTACTTACCCTTACTAGGTTAGATTACATTTGTTAGGATTAAATAAACAACAGCAACTACTATTAATGTTATTATTATTATATTTGCCAGTGACTATTTTTTTTTTTTTTTTTGCATGTGTGTTTAAGTTTGAAGGAAGGGAACAAGTAGAGAAATTCTTGAAAATCTTGTTTTATGATGCTCAAAGTGAGTTCTACTCATTCCAGAATGTCCTGACATTTGTAAACTTGCGGTCATGGAAACAACGTGCAAGATTCATAATAAATGTTTAATAAATGGCTGGTGGTTCACGCTGTTCTGTTTCAGTGTGCATATCCAGCTGTTGTTTCTGAAGACAAGAAAAGACACGCACTGAAGGATATACAAAAAGTCCAGAAGATGCATTCACAGAAACTATGAATTTGTGAAATTCATATCACGTTAACTGAAATTAGCTGTGAGCTAAACTAGGTAGCAAGCAACCTACGAATCAGGTTCCCTTGCTCAAATTCTGTAATCATTCTGTTTTATGAATTCTAGCTCCTTTTCTGTTTATTGATCAAATACATACCCAGAAGCAAATATAGATCTTTTCAGCTCAGTTTGTGACATTAAGATATTTTCTGAAATTCCAGCATTACTAACTTTTTTATTTTATTTTATTTTCTCTCTAAATAATCTCGGTACTGTCCAGGGTGAAGGATAAGCAGGAGTTTGTGTGACTGAAGATCTTAAATAGACACAGTATACTGAAACTAAATACTAAAATGTTTATTTCAGCAAACAGTCATAAAGCTCGACTCAAACTTGGTTGGCATCTGATTACATGCACATCATCCTGTGTATATTTTAACTTCACTCTGCTTTGCATATCACTTAGAATCAAACCTTTGAGAAATGCGTTGTAATATTTGTCGTCGCTCTGGAATAAATTGCATACTTTCATTCGTGTTTGGCTGCGAGCGCTGTAATCTATGTAAACGGCGTAATGCATTCAAATTCTAGACAGTCACATCACTCCATTTGAAAGGCCCGACTCCCTCAGCGGATCAAAACAAACCCCAAACTAACATTTGCATTTCTAAATGAAAGCTAATAGAAGTTTCACAGCTCCTGAAATAAACAGTCCTCGAGTGAACGTCACCTTTAGCTCATTATAAAGAGATACGTGGGATTTGACGAGAGTAGAAAGTTTTCTCAGAGCTGTTTTCTTCGGACATTGAAGTGTTTATTCTCGTAAAGAAGTGGCACAGAGGGAAAGTGATTTCATCTCTTCCCAGATAACACCGGTGAGGAGGATTTCCTGTGTAACGTGCACAGAACAGGAAGTGGACAAGACTCGATCAGTGAGGGTCTGTTCAAATCCTGTCAATCACAGCCAACCACTGAGGCCTGCATCAGACTCTCACGTGTCGAGAGAATGTACACTCTAAAAAACACTGGGTTAAAAGCAACCCAATTTGGGTTGTTTTCAACTCAAGGGCTGGATAAATATAGGACAAAACACATGTTGGGTTACTATTACCCAGCAAATTGGGTTGTTTATTTAACCCATCATACTAGGATGATTCATTTGTACTATAGTCTTTCTTTTTTTTACTTCATATATGAATTAATGTTTACGGATTAACTTTAATCCTCTAAATTTAAATACACACCACTGGTTTGCATGATAATTCCTTTATTTTTGATCATATTTTACAGTATATTTTATAGTTTTAAATACATATGCCATACATTTAAGCTCGTTTAACAAATATTAGAAGTAAACATTAAACATTTTTGTCCCGTTTCCACCGTAACGGCCCTGGATCTCGTGCCAGAGGTTGTATCATGTTTAGTGGGGGAACTTCTAACTCCAGACTCATAGCCGAAATATGCTGTGGCTGTGTCTGAAATCTCCACTCAAACCACTACTCCCTAACCCCTATGTAGGGGGTAGGGAGTAGAGCACTATATAGTGAGCTCACCAGCATAATAGAAACACCACTTTCGGACACTACTCGATCGTCTCTCGGCGCCATTGATTACGTAATTACTGTCGCACTATTTAAACGCGCCATCATCTGCTAAATAGATAAATAGGCTAAATAGATTTTCTTTATATAAATACATTACATTATATTGAGCTTATTTCTCCAAAATTGTAAAATTAAAAGTAATTTCTGGCCGTTTCTGTTATAATGCGTTACTCCACACATGATTATAACTTATAAACATAAATAAAATTAATACACATATTTCATATATTTTCATTTTCGCACCACACCGTTTTCTCTTGCCTGTCGACATTAGGAAAAAAAAAACAGATCGTTATCAAATATCTTGCTCATAATACTCTGTGGAGATGCCACTCAATATTTATCTTTTTTGTTTGTTTGTTCTCGTGATTCAGAAGATTTTGCGAATTAGCAAAAGAAACAGGATTTCTAGACACAGAAAACGACGTGCTGTTCTTGCTACGCTAGCGAGACGTCGTCAAATTGTAAGTTGAAGATGAAGATGATGCTG